CACCATGTTGGCCAGGCTGGTCTTGAACTCCTGACCTCAGGTGATTCACCCACCTTGGCCTCCCAAAGAACTGCTACTACATGCATGAGCCACCATGCCCAGCTTATTTTAGATATGTCTCTCTTAAAAACAGCATGGGCTCTGTTTGCTTTCCTTATTCAGCTTTATAATATAAATCATTCACATCAAACATCTAAAACACCATGGATTGTAAAACACAGCCATATTTTATGTATGAATTAAAAAGAGAAACACCACCAGTTAGGTCCTGAGACACAACACCTTAACAACATCTCTGTGATGTGTATAAACCAATCACACCAGTTTCTCTGTTCTTCAATATTTCTTTCATCAATTCTAAGAGATATGGCAATTTCTCTGGTTTTACATTCCCAGAAGCAAGGAAAAAGCACACAGTTTCTTCAAGTCATGAGTAGCTTCTTTTTTGTAGCTCTTGATGTTTGCAAAAAAGAATGGAATTGCTTCACTAATATTAAATTTTCATCCTATTGCTCTGTTTCTATGACAAGCCAGAGGTCATCTTTTGAAGACATTTTCAACAGCAATTAAACACAAAACATGTAATGGCAATGATATGCAAAACTCAACTGATGACCAAATGAAGAGTTCTGACCAAGTTGACACAAGCCGACTGACAGAGCTTGTAATACACACAGCTTGACATATGCCTCCCCATTTCAGAGATGTAAAAATATGAATAAATGTTTGCCCTTAAATCAATGAAATAGAGCATTTGGACTGAAAATCAGCCACTGTTACAGTGTTTTCTATTCATTATTCTCATTCTGTTTCTTCTCTTCCTTCTTGCTTTCTTCTGGTTTGAATATTTTCTGTCATTCATTTTTCTTCTTACTAGTTTGAAACTTATGCATTTATTTTCTCTTCTTTTAGCACTTACCTAAAATTACCCTGTAATCCATAAATCCTTAATTTATTTAAAAACCTAATGTTAATGAGTAGCTGTATTTTCCTCCAACATAATTTAAGGCCCACAGAACACCTTCACTTATCTCAATCCTCTCCCAACTTATATGATTTTAATGCCACATATGTTAATTCCATATACTTTAAAACCCTCTAAAATAATATTTTATAGCATGAGTGTTCGTTTACATTTGTGTATAGATTTAGAACTTTCTTTGCTATTTATTTCTTCTTCTACTTATGACCTCCGCTCTGGGATCATTTTCCTCCTACTTGAAGTACTATATTTTAGTACAATATTTTAGAACTATATTGTTCAATACAGTAGCCACTAGCTATAAGTAGCTATTGAAGTTCAAACTAAGTAAAATTGAGTAATACTAAAAAACTCAGTTCCTCCATCTCACTAGCCATATTTCAAGTGCTCAGCAGCCACATGTGAATAATGACTACTGTACAGCAAATTTATAGAACGTTTCCATCATTGCCAAGAGCTCTATTGATAGTGTTCATCCAGAGTTTCTGTTCTTGGACCAAACTGAGGGTTGGGCTGCTATTTCTTGTGGCCCGATAACAAGATGCAGATGAACTGGGAAGGAAGAGAGTTTTTATTTCCACAGTTACAGGGAGAAGGCCTGAAAATTATTGCCAGACCATCTCAAAATTGCAAAGTTTTTCCAGAGCTTATATACATTCTAAGCTATATGTCTATGTGTAAGTGTGCATTCATCTAAAGACAAGTGATTAACTTCTTTTAATCTATAACTAAGGTCTGAGTTCTGAAGACCTTCCTCTGGAGCCTCAGTAAATTTACTTAATCTAAACGGATTCAAGTGCTTGGGTGATTACCCTTATCTCATCCCCTGCTAAATCGTAGAGGTTTGAGGGGTTCCTTCAGACCCCCAATAAACATGTTTTCGGAGGCCTAGTGAGTTTCTTAAGACCCACAATAAAACTTGTTTAATCCTAAATGGATCCTGTTAAGAATTCTTTCTTTATTTTGTCATGCTTTTAGGAAAGACCTAGGCAAAACTCTTGATAGGCTTTTGTTACATTCTAGCCTTTGTATAAGGGCACTGGCTTTTAAATATTTAACTTAACCATCAGTCAGTACTGAAATAGTTGTTATGGAGGTCTGCATTAGTGAGACCTGGCCTGTCACATTTCCTTTTCTGAAGATCTTATGGTGGTGAACACCTTTGTGAAAGAAAAATATATCTTAAGACCCCAAAATCACTAAGCCAAAGAAAACAGTCCAGCTGGGAAGTGAACCAGGCAAACCTGTCTCCCATTTCATTCCTAAATAACAGCTACAGGGAAAAACAAGCTGCATATCTCCCTCACAATATTGCCCACTAGGAAATTCCTTGTGGGCCCCCCAGATACTTACCCTAAAAGAGTTCTATTGAATTTCACTCTGACAATGTAAACTGATAGCTTGTCCTCACAGGTACAGGACAAGGGACAGGACTCAAAGTCATCCTTCTTTGCACCTGCGACGAATGCATATCTGATTGCTTCCTCCACCCTATGTTTGTTTTATCTTATGTAAAAGTACAGATTCATTGAGCTAGATGAATGCATAAGTGACTATTCCTCTACCTGCCTCTCACATGTAAACTACTGACCAAAGACTCAAAAGAAGGCAACCAATTGCCTCTTATCCACCCACACCTTATAAAAATGGATTCCACTTTCCCCAGTATCTGCCCTTTCCCCCTTAAGTATTAAAGCCCTCAAAATCATTTTTGGAGAAAGGCACAGACCTGCCTCCTGGGCGTGTACCCTTAACCTTAGGAAAATAAATTTCTAAATTGATTTAGATACCTTTTGGTTTACACCTTCTATTTGTGTTTGGCCAAAAATATCCTTATTTCATTTGCATTCTTAAATTGCCAAGTTCATTGTTACCTGTAAGAAGCTTCAATTTGTTCTCTGCCCAAGTTACTTTTATAAGTCACACTGTCCTGCCATTCACCTCAAGGAATATCTAATCTCTGTCAAAAGGCAATCTAAGAAGCTCAAGTGGAATTTTCCATTTTTTTCCTAGAGAAACAGTATTGTCGATGGGGTAGAGCTAAGCAAAATGCTGATATTGCTGCTGGGAATAGTAAATGAACTAAGTGAGTTTTTGTGAGAGAATGGGAAGCCAATCATCATAAATTATATTATTTTCGTTGGAAAATGCATCTTGAGTTCCAAACTCACTCACAAATGAGTTTTTGGAAACTTAAGGGAGCCCCTGGCCTTAGTCCTCTAAGAAGGACCCACAAGCCCAGCAGATAAGACAGAAAGAAACTATTATCAGGTTGGTGCAAAAGTAATTGCAGTTTTTGGCTATTACGTACAGGCAATCCACCTGCGTCAGCCTCCCAAAGTGCCAGGATTACAGCTGTCAGCCAGCCTGCCCAGGCGGTCATATTTTTTTAAATCCTAGGATGGAATGTATATACACTGTAAAAAAAAGAATCTCACTGTATTAAAAATGTATAAAATAACCTCACTAAAGGGAATGAGTGAGAAAGGTGCTGACCTAAAGTAGCTTTGGATGTGAGGGAAGTCTATAAGACTAAAGGCAGAAGGTGCTGTCTGTAAGCACTGTGCTCTGCTGGCAAGTTGTTTCCCACCAATTCAATTTAGTGTTGAAACCGTTATACATGTATACTGGAATGGAACAACTGAGCCAATAGATAGTGGGTTGTCGGAGCCAGGTTTCTCACTGTTAGAGTAAGAGTTTACAGACAAGCACACGGGGAAAAGTTAGAAGGATCTGTGTGATAATGAATTAGAACTGGAGACATCAGTATAAACTCATGTTTAGTTTAATATAGAGACAGATGGTTACATATAGACATATTTATAGCTATATCTCTGTACTGTTTGGTATATACACATGTATTTCCCTGATCAATCAACTGAGAGAGCCTGGAAGCAATGACACCTCAGTAACAATGAGCATATCTAGGGCCCAGCTCTCAATTTCCAGTATCATTCTCCAACAAAAGTAACCAGGGGCCTTAGAGAAATGGCTGATTTTAGGGATGGTGAAGAAAAGATACAAGATGAGCCGAAAGCATTCTTTAGTGATAGAAAATAAGATGGTACTTTTAAAAAGGCAATAACAGGATGTGTCAAAGGAACACAGAAGCCAACAGAAAGAGCTACCAATTGCCAGAGCTGGAACAATTTTCTGAAAATAAAACATACATGTAGCATTGTATTATAAACTAAATTATAAAAAAAAATCCATACTGATTTTTAAAAAGATTTCATAAGTAAATGGGGAGAAGAGACAGATCTTCCTGCAGAAGAATTAAGCAAATTCTCAGGACTTTATATCCTAAGATTCTGAATTAGCATGTCCAACGTTATTCCCAGAAATCTGCAGTTTTACAAAACTCCTCAAGTGATTCTGGTGTAGATGGTTTCCGATCATACTCTGAGAGACACATCTCTTCCTAGTGTGTCTTATTTGAAAATGCTGTCAAGTACATGACACAGCTGAGAACTATTTGGGGTCATTGGGCTCCAGTAATCTGCACTAAAGGAGTGAGTCTAGCCATCAATACAGCCTGTGATGAGAATCCTACCATGATAAAGAAAAAATATGACAGGACCTTGGACATGGAGAAGAACAGCATCAGTGAAGAATCCAACACTTAAATCCAACACTGCTAACTCATTTATTCACTCATTCATTCATTTTATTTCTTTTTTTTTTTTTCAAAATCCACTTTTATTTTTCACGTCTTGTGAAAGACTACAGAGAGCCATGCTCAGCGGCCAGCAGCGTACCTTTTTTTTTTTTTTTGAGACGGAGTTGACCCAGGCTGGAATGCAATGGTGCGATCTCAGCTCACCGCAACCTCAGCCTCCTGGGTTCAGGCAATTCTTCTGCCTCAGCCTTCCGAGTAGCTGGAACTACAGGCACGCGCCACCATACCCAGCTAATTTTTGTATTTTGAGTAGAGACAGGGTTTCACCATTGTGACCAGGATGGTCTCAGCTCTTGACCTCGTGATCCACCTGCCTCCGCCTCCCAAAGTGCTGGGATTATAGGCATGAGCCACCGCGCCTGGACGCAGCTTACCTTTCTAAGTCATACAGCAGCTCATCCTGCCCTCAAGGGGCTGAAAGGGCAGCCCAGAGCCTCCCACTGACAGGTGTGCTCACCTACCCACGACACTGGGAAAGATCCCTGTTCTAGCATCACATTTTACTCAGATTTGTCAAAATCAGGTTGCTGTGGCAAAGGCTCCTTCACTGAGGATGGCAGTCCTGGAAGACTTCTTCGTCAAGCCGCCAGCTCAATCTTCTGAACCAGGCTCACATCCCAGGGATGGGTCACAAAACTGATGACGGTGCCTGGAACCTCACTCCCCACACAGCCTACTCTCCCTGCTCTATGGATGTAATCTTGCAGTGTAGTGGGGGAAATCATTATTGACAACCAGCTCCACACCAGTGCTCTCTAGGCCCCAAGAGACTATGTCTGTGCAGAAAACTATGTCTTGGGAGCCCTTCTGGAAGGACTGGAAGATACCTGCCCTCATCAAGGCTGGCATTTTCCCCTGCAACCTTAGGTGTTGGATTTTGTGATCATCCAGAATATATTCCAGCTGGAGCTATTACCGAACACCAGAACAGTTCCCGAGGGGCCAGTCTTTTCTGCTCTGTCGTGATGCTTGAGGATGTGCACCAGCTCGGTCACCTTATCTGCTCCCTTCAGTCTCAGAAGTGTCTGTTTCACATGAGACATGATACAGTGGAGCTTGGAGCTGGTGATGGTGGTGACAGAATCTGCACTGGCGACTTTATTCAGCAACTGGCCTACACCTTTGAGAAATGTGGCTCCTACCAGCACTAACTGAGCTTTGGGATTGAAGGGGTCTTCCAAGTCAGCTGGGCCTTCTGCGATGTTGCTATTCTCCAAGATGCAGTACACAAGTTCCAGGAAGCTTTCATCCAGCAGTGTGTCTGCCTCATCCAATACCAAGAAGGAGAGTTGCTCCAGGCTGGTAAGTCGACTTCTCAGGGCTTTCCACAGTGCCCCTGGAGTGGCCACTAGCAGCACATAGGCTGAAGGTTGTTTGGACAGTTGCAACCTGATCCTACGCATGCCACGGCCTCCCTCCAGGTCCTGCACCAGCAGGCCCAAGGAGCACCCCAAGGGTTGGGCCACGGCCCGCACCTTTGGGCCAATTCTCGGGAAGGCACAAGGACCAGACATCGGGGCATGGGGATAGGAAGGGAGTTCAGGCTTGGCAGTCCCAAGAGCCGTTGAAGTAGCAGCAGGAGGTAGCTGAGAGTCTTGCCACTGCCGGTTTCTGCGGCACAAAGGATGTGGCGGCCGCGAAGTAGTGGGGGGATGGTGTTAGACTGCACGGTTGTGGGCTGAACGACTTCAGGTGCAGCCTACTGCAGTGCGTGCAGCACACGGGGCTCCAGGCCAAGGTCAGCAAAACTGTCCTCGGACGAGGGCTTCTGCACCGCTGGCACCTCCTGTAGCGCGCGCTCGATGGAGAAGTGGTCCCGGCCAGCTTCGAGAGGCTAGCGGCGCGATCTCTCAATGGCCCAGAGTGAGGCGAGCTGGCTGGTTTAACTCTGGCCGCCGCGCCGAAACCAGCAGCGGTCCAGGTCGCACCGGCCCCGGCCCCGGGAGTCTCCGCCGTCTGCTCTGCAGCTGTTCCAACTTCCGCTGTAGAGCCACTGGGATGAGCACTACCGGCAGCGGTTCGTCTGGACTGCGGACCATCAGGCCCCGTCGGGGAGCTAGGAGCAACCGAGCCACTTAGAGAAAACAGCCGCACGGGCCGCCCTATAGCCATGTTTCCCTTGGTCCGTTTTATTTCATTTTTAAGGACTTGTTTGCTTGAGGTACTGTCTAGATGCTGGAACTAAAAATGGTGAGCAGGATATCCCTATCCTTGAGGAAATGGTAGTCCAGTCAGAAATACAGATGTCAATCCAAGTTTCACACAAGCACATGTACAAAAACCCCTAGGACAAATGCTATGAAGAAGAGGTGCCCAGCACTCAAGGGCTTTCATTGGGGTTGGAAGTGACTCTTGAACTGAGATTTAGATAATTAACTAGCTCAAAAGTGGAAAGAGTCACTTTCTCCTCTCATTTGAGGTCATAATCAGTTTCAGTTACTAATGTTAGAACAAGCAAAAACAGAAAAAAGGCAGCGCAATGAGGATCTTTTGGGGAAGGCTGTGTCTCTGTATCTGAAAGACTAATTTCTCTGACACCGTATCTGTGCACCTTGTGGGTCATGCTCTCCTTTCACGTGAGAGGAAAAGCGTCACTGCCCTAGAGGCACAGAGAGCTCAAGACACAATCTTTCCTTCCTGCCCCCATTCTCTGGCATACACAAAGCCAATTTCCAGTCATGACAAATGAAACCAATTATTCACGACAGGCTATTTTCAAGATAAAGCTTTGGGCATACCCAGAGCATTCCATCACTCTGAACTCCTTCCCTGGAAATTTAAGAAGTAAAGCTGACTACTGGTCCTAGACAGCCCAGAGCACTTGGACCCTGTTTGCTCTCTCATACAATAGCCATCCTCATCCCCATCTTTATACCATTTTTACCAGAAAAGAATAGCCCAAAAAGTAAAATTTTGTTTTTGTTTTCTCAAGGCAGTGTCAAGTGGTGCAATCAAGGCTCACTGCAGCCTTGACCTCCCATGCTCAAGCGCTCTTTCCACCTCAGCTTCTTGAGTAGGTACTGACTGCAGGCATGCACCACCATGCCCAGCTTTTTTTTTTTTTTTAAAGACAGGGTCTCATTATGTTGCCTAGGCTGCTTTTGAAATCCTGAGCTCAAGTGATCTTCCCACCTCAGCCTCCCAAATTGATACGATTACAAGTGTGAACCACTGCAACCAGCCAAAAAAGGGAGGAAGAAGTAAGGTTTCTTATTCCTCTTTCCTCATTTACCCATGGTTGTGGTCAGTCTACAATCTCCACCAAGGTAGAATTAGGAGATGGGAGAGTCATCAGCTCTTCTCAGTATTTCAAAAATTCAGAAAAATTTAGATAGTTAACCACATCAAGCCCTTCTCTTTTACTGGGTTATGTACAGGGAATAAATAAATAAAGCCTTCTCAGTTATCCTAGGATCAAGTCTCTCTGCTTTTAGGTGGAATTATCTCAACTCTATGTTGCGATATGATGATCTTGCACTGACCAAATATCGCAATTGACCATTGAATGTTTTCAACACGTGGTTTAAAAAATAAATTCTTGCATAGTAGATAGAGTTTGCTGATAAATCTATTAAAATTTACTGTGGTGTTGGAGGGGTGAAAGTGTAACTAAAGAGGTTTTCAATAGTGCAAAGACTGGGAACACTGGTGTAACAGAGAACTGGCTTCAAATCCTGGCTTCATCTCTTCTAGCTCTGTGGACTAGCTTACCTTAACTTTCCAAATCCAGATTCTTCATGTTATAAAGTGAGATAATATCAGCCTTTCTGGGCAGTTCGGAGAATCAGAGGTATAGCAAGTAGTGCAGCACCTGATGTATGGTGGATTGTCCTCCACCCAGGTGAAGTTCTAATGAGGATGATGGTGGTGATGATGATGATGGTAATAATGGTGATGCTGATGATAGTGATGGTGATACTAATGATGATAATGAAGATGATAATGATGATGATGATGATAATGGTGATAGTAATGGTGACAATGAAGACTTCTCATCCACAGAGACTCTGGCTCAATTGGTTTGCCATAAGGTCGGGCATCAGTACTATTTTAAAGCTTCCCAGATGACTAATGTACAATCTGGATTGACAACCACTGTCCTAGTCCAGCAGACCTCAAACTCTTTGATCTCAGGACTCCTTTATACTCTTAAAAATTATTGAGAACACCAAAGAAGTTTGTTTTAAACACAAAAACATATACATATCCCTTTCATTAGCCATTAGATTGATGACATTATCACCTTATGTAGCCCCTAAAAAACTCCACTGAACACTAGTAAAAAGAAATGAAAGGGCAGCCTGGCCAACAAGACGAAACCCTGTCTCTACTAAAAAATACAAAAACTAGCCAGGCATGATGGTGCACACTCGTAATCAGCTAATCAGGAGGCTGGGGCATGAGAATTGTTTGAACCCTGGAGGCGCAGGTTGCAGTGAGCCAAGATTGCACCACTGCACATGAGCATGGGTGACAGAGCAAGACTGTCTCAGAAAAAAAATGAGAGGGAAAAAAAATAATGTCTTGTCCTATTATGAAAGTTGTTTTGGCTTCATGGACCTCCTGATGCTACCTTAGACTAGTTTTCCACACTATTGCTCTCTGTGCGCCTCTACCTCCAACACTGCATACACACCCACAGACTGTCAGTCTCCCTCCCTGGCATCTCTGCCACATCTAGAGGAGAAGTCATACCATTGGCTTTCAGGCAATACAAGACAATCAAATCCCACATAGCCTGATGCTAAATGATCATTAAAAAGGGGCCAGACCAAAAGTTGCCACAGTTCTTGCTGCTTAAAATGAAACATTATAGATTTGCAAGATTAATTAATAGAATAAACAAGACTGAAAAATCTGCACTGGCAAATGAACCCTCAGGCCTTTTGAAAACAGAGGAGTTGCTGAGCAAAACTAATTGCTTGACCAATCACACATCACCTTGACGACTGACAATGACACTTGACTGATCTAGCTGAGTATCGACTGTCCAAACTGGTGGCCATTGGGAAAGATTAGTTCCACATACAAGTTCACTTGTCCACACAATGTTATATTTCAAAATATGAATTAGTTTCCAACATTAAAATCAAGACATTTCACATAAACACCTGGATTTCTGGCTTTTTTGAAACAGAAGAAAATCTGGCAATACTCATGCTTTGTTTCCTCAGTGGGATGAAGATGGCACTTGGGTCTCCTTTTTTACTGAAGCCTACTTCTCTCACCTGCATTATATTTAGTATTATATATGCACAAAGATAACATTATCACTTTTGCTTAAGAAAATCATGGATCTTGAAGGCCTCTCCTTTCTTTAAGTCATATCAGTAAGGTTAGACTCACTTCATGTATTTAGAGGTCAGTCTTACTATAACCTCTACTATACAGAACTTACTCTGGGATCTGAAAAGCCATGAAGCCAGGAAGCCAAGAGAGCAGGCTCAATGTCCATGAAATGTCTTCTGAACAAAGGCATTGCACTTGGCTGATTCTATTTTATACACAACTCTAAAATGTCTTATCATATTTTGCGGGCCAAAGAGGAAAATAATTAGACACAGAAAAAAAAAACCCAGCTTGCAAACATAAGGGGGAATCCCCCACATCACCCCACATCTCCCTCCCCCAAAACACCATAACTCAATGCAAGGAATTTTTAAAAATCAAGATTAAAGCCCAAATGTTCCTCTAAGACAAGGAACAAGGCAAGGATGTCTGCTTTCACCAATGCTATTTGACATAGAATTTCTAGCCACTGCAATAAGTCAAGAAAAAAGAAAAGACATATAGACTGAAAAGAAAGAAATAAAGCTGTATCTGTTTGCAGACAACATGATTGTCTATATAGAAAAATCTCAAGGAATCTACAAGAAAAATGTAAAAGTCTCCTAGAACTAATAAGAGAGTTCAATAATGTTACAAGATATAGGAACACAGATTGGCACACAAAAATTCATTGCGTTTCTATACACTGAAAATGAACTAGTGGAATAAAAAACACAAAATCATTTACAATTGTTCCCAAGAAAGTGAAACACTTAAGCATAAATTCAACAAAACATATACAGAATCTTTAGGATGAAAATTTTAAAAAACTAATGACATAAATTAAAGAAGACCTAAATGCTTGGAGAAAGATGCTATGTTCATAGATTAAAAGAATCAACTGAGTAAAGACATCATTTCTTTTTAAATTAATGTGTAGGCATAATGCAGTTCTTACCAAAATCTTCGTAAGGTTTTCTGTAGACATAGAAAAAGTTATTTTAAAATTTATATGGAAAGGCCCTAGAATATCCAAAAAATTTTTGAAAAAGAATAAAGTAGGAAAAACACTTTTTCTAATGCTAAGGCTTACTATATGGCTGCAATAATCAAGACAACATGGCATTGGGGAAGGAACTGATGCATTTTTTAAAATTAACAGGGTAAAGAGCCCAGAAATAGACCCACACGAATATGTCCAATTAATTTCTGACAAACGAGCAAAGGCAATTCAATGGAGGAAGGATACCCTTTTCAATAAAAGGGAACTGGAGCAATTAAACAAACCTATGTAGTTTTTAAAAATGACCCGAAACCTAAACATCAACCTATATACAAAAGTTAATTAACAATGGATCATGGACTCTAATGTAAAACATTAGTCTAATGTAAAAAATTGGAGAAAATCTTTGGTACCTATGACTAGGCATAGTTACTAGACTTAACACTAAAAGTGTGATCTATAAGAGGAAAAATTAATCATTTGGACCTTATGAAAATCAAAATATTTGCTCTCCAAAAGACCCTGTTAAGAGGATGAAAAATAAATTACAGACTGAGATTTGTAAATTACATATCTGACAATAGACTTGTATCTAAAATATATAAAGAACTCTCAAAACTCAACATTTAAAAAAATCTAATTAGAAAATGCATAAACATTTTACCAAAGGGGGCATATAGATAGGAAATAAAGCACTTGAAAAGATGCTCAGCCTCACTAGCATTAGAAAAATGCAAATTAAAACCACAATAATGTATACTACATACATATAAGAGTGGCTAAAATGAAAAAATAGTGATAACACCAGCTGTTAGTGAAGATGTGGAGAAATGCTCATACATTTCCGGTAGAAATGTAAAATGGCATAGCCACTATAGAAAATTCTTTGGCATTTCCTTTTAAAACTAAAAATCAATCTACCGAACAATGCAGCAATTTTATTATTGGGCATATATCCCTGAGAAATGAAGATTTATTATCACAAAAAATTCTGTACACAAATGTTTTATGTACATAATGGCCAAAACCTAGAAACTATCCAAATGTCCTTCATTGGGGAAAGGATTAAACAAACTGTGATACATCCATACCTTGGAATACTACCCAGCAATAATAAGGAAAGAATTACTGCTGCACACAAGTCGAATCAAATCCAAGAAAATTGTGCTGAGTAAAAATCTAAAAAGCCAATCTCAAAAAGACACATACTTCATGATTCCATTTGAATAACATTAATTAACATAATTATACAGATGGAGAACAGAATAGTGGTTGCCAGGAATCAGAGGGTGAAGACAGTGGGGTGGGCTTAGGGTTTGAGGATGAAGAGGGTACAGCTGTAAAGTACAGCAAGAGAGAGTCTCGTGGTGAGGGCACAGTTAACTATTGTGATTGTGATAATTACACCAAGCTACACACATAATAAAATTGCATAGAGCTACACACACGCACACAAATGAGTGGAAGTGTAACTGGCAAAAGCTGAGTAAGCTATGTGGACAGCTATTAAGCTAT